AGACACACGTTTAATGATTGCATTCGGGAGAGCAGGAATGGGGAGCTCTTTAACTGAGATGCTTCAATGGTCATAACAACATGTGACTAATAATGGGCAGGTTTCATTGCAGTAGTAAGCTGAGGACTACCTCTATTTAAATTTTGAAATGTATCACCAATTTTTTAAAAAAAAATATTGGGAGGGGATCCTTGGTGCTCTCTAAGCTTGTCTGTTTTCTTGCAGTTGTTTCATTATTTGCTCTCAGTTCCCCACTCTGTACTAACACCGATGTTACCTGAGTAATGAAACATCTGCAAAAGCAACCCCAACCTAGCTCACAGAGCACCGACCCCTTGTTTCAAGCCTGAGCTATAAATATTCCCCTTTATTTTTTAAGTATACTAAATAAAATCTGTAAAAAATGACACTTATGAAAATAATGTGCAAAACGTATACTAAAACACATATCAGGGGAAAAAATCTATAGACCAAATTATTTTAGACATCTTAAGACATTTTTTAAAAAAATTATAAAGTGGACTTGACAGACTTTCAAAACAAGAAAAATAAACTTGGCAGAAGAACAGAATTGAGAAACTGACACATGCATATTTACACAGCGCATATATTTTTTGGAATTTCTTTATTGCAAAACGTTTTGAATCTAGAAGAAAACTGAAAGAAAACCCTGAGAAGTTTATGCGAAGTATGTAGTATATTCAGATAATCAATAGATAGCAACAAATGAATGAAATGGTACTCTTTAAGGCCATTGACAATAAATGAAGTAACTTCTTGGATGAGAAGCAAAACATTTGCAAGAAAAAAAAAACAAAGTCGAGTTGCCTTTGGAAAAACACTTTTGGAACAGTCATGACCTGGATGACTGAGAATCATTTTGCCATTGACTAATTCTTTTGGGTTTTTTTTCATCCTAGATCAAGTGGAAAAATTTAGTGTAGGGTTTAAAGCAATCTAAAGAACCACTTTCTAAGAACAGAAAAGATAGCAATAACTATGTTTTTATTGCCTGCTTATAGAATGTTCAAAGACAGGTGTCTGAGGACTAAACAGGTTTAGTTTTAATTTAACAGAAATTTCACTGTGCTGTTATATTACACTGACCAGCAGCCTCTAATACAACTTGGTTTTTGTGAGTATGTATGAGGGCAATTTGGAAATAAACTTCCATTTGGTTACAATGACAGATACTCGTAGATACAGAACTACACATTAGAAAACTACAACATTACATTACTTTTCGACATAATCGCCATTCAAATTGAGGCGTCATAATGTCTTACAAGGTTTGAATTTCCTTAGTAGTTGCTCGGCACCAAATCAGGGTTATGGGGAGGGGTGATCAAAAACATCCCAATGGAACTGCTTCAAAAGTTCTTGATTGTGTCTAGTGGTATGTGGGCGAGCATTATCGTGAACCACACTGGAAGTCAGCATGCCCCAACGCGTGTTATGGATGGCTCGTCTGAGTTTTCGTAACATTTCACATTGTTGGTTGAACCACGCTCCATGAGCTTCACTTTGGCATCTTCACATTTGGCGGAATTTTCTATGGCACCACTTCCAGTATGGTGCTGGTTCACAATAATGCTCACCCGCACACCGCTAATCGATTACTAAGGAATTTCAAACCTTGTAAGACGTTATGACAAGTGCCTCAATTTGAATGGCGATTATGTCAAAAAATAATGTAATGTTGTAGTTTTCTAATGTGTACAATAAAAGTTCTGTATCTGCGAGTGTCTACAAAGATACTGCCTTGTTTTATTTTACTGGGATAAGTTTGTCTCAGTCATATATTTGCCTTTGCAACATAAAGTTATGTAAGACTCCATTGTATTTTAAAGATTCCGTTTCATTTTCGTTCTAAAAAGTTCAAGGATAAAAGGTTACGAGGGATTCCAAAGGAACACTGTCTCAAAATACTAGTAGTTTTTTTAAATGCACATAGTCCATTTTGCACATAGTCCATCATTCAGAAGTTTATCAGAATAGTAATATATTCAGTCAAGCTTTTTTCTCTAATATGAACCTGATATTACAAAGTCAGACCTCATAAAATATGCTACCACAGCTCTTTATACTTTTGATCAGGGGTCTTCAAACCTGGCCCTTTTATGACTTGTGGACTTCAACTCCCAGAATTCCTCAACCAGGCATGCTGGCTAAGGAATTCTGGGAGTTGAAGTCCACAAGTCATAAAAGGGTCAAGTTTGAAGTCCCCTGCTTTTGATTGTAGAATTGCCCTCTAAACTCAGTGAACAGTAATTTGGTTGAAAACAAGATGCAGAAGTGACATCAATATCCTAATCATTTTTTTCAGGTTAACCACATCAAACATCATTAGCACAGTCATTTGAAGGACAGGAAAAACCCCAACAGGTAACACCACTTCCTTTCTTGCATTGTTGCTACTTCATTTTAAGTAGACTTCAAAAGGCAGTTTAATATGATTTAATTCCCCCTCCTTCCCACCACCATTAATCTGCTTGATTCATCTTTCCTGATGCAACATATGTATTAATCATTTGTGACCTGAAAAGTATGATGAGCAATGGTGAATACATGTTGACAGTCAGGTTCAAAGCACTATAGTTCAGAGCAGTCCAATTTGGTGCCTTTACCCTGCCAGTACAGTTCACTGGAGTTGGGTAGTTGTAATACATTTAGATGATAAATTTAAAAATGTGCTGAGAATTTTGGAAAAACTGGTCAGTTAGCTTGATTCTGATGAAGACAAATATCAAACAACCATAGAAATAAAATTATCTGGCATCCCACACAACAAAGATAAAGGCAGTCTAACCCCAATCCCTTTCATTCAAAAAATCAGATTAAATGTAATATTTGGAAGCTGGGGTAGAGAATTTTAAACCAGTTATTGTCTTTACATTGGGAGGGAGTAATCTTGAGAACTCAAACAACAATCAATAGCAAGCCTCGGAAGAAGCCTACAAGATTGCAAACATTGCAATTCCACAAAGGGGGAAAAACTTAATGGAAATATTATTTCCTATTTTTTTAAATAAAATTTGAAAAATGCAGTTGTTTGGTGACTTCTGGGCATTCTCTGTTGGTAAAAGTATAGATAAAAATTATCAACATGATGAACACTGACCCAATATTTTATTACTAGCTATAAATATTTGACACAGAGATGCAGACTTGTGAAATCTATAGCTCTTTACTAGATACATTTCTTCTAAGCAATTTTTTCTCCAATAGTAGAATATTGTTATTGTATTTTATTGTAGTTTAATTACCATTTTCCTGTTACTTTGGCTAGCTATATACTGAAATTTCAGTTTTCTATGCAGGCAGATATATGTAGCAACCAGAAATAGTGTATGTAACTGAATAACAGGTTTGAAATGTATAGGAGTCCAATTCCTTTTTCTAAGTTCTTATGAGTCACTGTAAGAATGTAGTTTCTCAGTTCAAAATTTCTTTATTCAAACAGGCACTCATATATAAAGAAAATAATAGTATTGCTATTCATGTGTATGTATATATGTGTGTGTGTGTATGTATGTGTGTATGTATGTGTATGTGTATGTAACTGAATATATATATATATATATATATTCAAAATTTGGATTGCTGACAAAGAATTAAGGGAGAACTGGAATAGCCATTTCTCTTTCTGTCTTTCATACGAATATATTCAATTTACCACTGAAAAGCAAATGGACCACATAGAGCCACAGAAACATTTTTCTGTCACAATGTGACAGAAAAATGAAAGGTCAGCTGTTGTTATTTATTGGACTATTGTTTTAAAGAATGAATAAATTTCAATTTAGATCTGGCCTGTTATCTGTATGGGTATTCCCAATAAAAATCCATTGGGTAGATTTGATGGCAGATGTATTGTAGCTGCTCCGACTACAATGGTTAAAAATTGCCCAAGTATGACATCATGGTAAAAGGAAGTATTACTATATCACCAAACAGGATATCCTCCCTTATAATCATTCATAACAACCATGAACAATTGCTTGGTGCCAGCAAGACTCCATACTATTATTCTGCATCAAGAAAACCTTTTGATAAAATATGTATTGCATTAAATGACAGCATGAAGCTATGTTTACTTTCTGAAACAAAAAAATAAGTATCAGAAGTTCTGCCTTCATTGAGACTTTGATATAAAGACAGAATACACAATTTTTCCCCAGCCGTAGCTTCCCAAGATGTCCTTCACACATACACACAGTGCAAGGTTTCTAGAAAAAAAGCAATTCTTTTGAGGTATGAGAGTAATAAAAATTAGATACCGTAGCCACAATACAAGCTAAGTTAAAAATAAATCAAATTGTAATCAACTGTTGGAATGCCTTGAGTTTCATTGCCAAAACAATGGGGAGGAGGTTATATGTGTACAAAATAAAATCTCACAAGATCAACACATATCATAGAATTTGGGTCACTAACTCATGAACTCATGCAATATCACATGAAGATATCAATATTTTTGCACACTCACTTCATGTGAGAACACAACATTCTTTGAGATTTGAGGATTATCAGATTTCAGCTCAACAAGAAGTGCTTATAGAAGTTGTGAAAAATCTGAAATGTATTTTTAAGATTAGAGTTAGCTACAATTCTGGAGAATGCCAAAGGTGCTTTTTTTTTCAAAAGGCAACTGGACTTTCTTGGCTTTTGCTTGAGGACGTTTTGCTTCTCATCCAAAAAGCTTCTTCAAGTTCTGACTTGTTTAAGAAGCTTTAACAGAAGCCTCCTGGATGAAAAGCAAAACATCTTCAAACAAAAACCAAGAAAGTCCAATTGCCTTTTATAAAAAAAAAAGCACCTTTGGGACAACCATGACCTGATGACTAAGAATCTCCATAGATGATTCTGGAAGAATGCTTGTGAAATACAAAAGACAGTACATTGTCTAATAAAATATTTCACAGCATATGCCATTAGTTTTACTCTCTAAAAAGATGGGATAGATGATTAAATAAATACCAAACACTACAAAGTTTATGCAACATGGTTCTATTTAAAGTAGTTTCAACCATGGCACTCAGTGACAGCAATACAATATTTTCTTCACAAAGCAATGAATACAAAAATATGCCATAAATTCATTTGTAAACTAGTATTCTAATACACATACGTCATAGCAACGCACATGTTTATATAACATCTTCCTGAGATACTTTGGGTGGTTTTCATTTTATTGTGTTAGATTATCTTTGATCAATTCAAAATAATGGTGCAAGTGGGACATTAATATAAAGAAAATGCAAACAATAGGTAGAGGAGCAGCTCTTACACATACTTCCTCTGAAAACATGGAACACACACTGTGTTCTTAAACATTTGACTCTTTCTGGTTGAGAAAAAGTGAGGTGAAGTTTAATTTAATAATCTAAAAAAAGCAGCAGAGTGTTTCAGGAATGTTAGAGGTGTAGTAGAATACAAATGATAGAAAGGAAAAATCATAATTCTTTTGACTAGACATTTTCTGCAGAAGCATTTGTACATGCTGTACTCAGTTCACAGTTTCAGTATCAACACTAATCTGTCTTGGAAGAGCAAATGTCTTTTAAAGTTTCTAGCTCTTCTATAAGTTTCTTGTTTTGAACTTCTAACATTGCAACACGACTCTCCAGACATTTCACATATTCTTTCTTCCTTCGTCGACATTCTTTTGCAGCTTCCCTGAAAAAAAAAAAAGGTAAAAAGGGCAAACAGAAAAGCTTTTGTGACATGCTACTGAGATAAGGTTAGGATGGGTATGGTGCAATGACCACGGTCAATACAATATGGAGGCAGTGATGCTTTCCAAAGATTAGAAATCACACATCTTTTTAGAAAAAAGACCTAAGAAAAGCCAAGACCACAATGACCACACACTGCCCCTTTCTCAAGGGTCACTTGGCAATCTGTAGAATTGCTTCATCTCATGCCTTGATTACTGTTCATAGTAAAAAGTTCCACGGCCAAATGCCAGTTACTCTGCTTTGTGGCAATAAAGGTCTTTGAGGGCCTTGAGTTCCTCAATGAGAGTCTTGTTTTGATTTTCAAGCACAGCCACACGGTTTTCAAGACATTTGACATATTCTTTCTTCTTCCTGCGACATTCACGAGCAGCTTCCCTGGAACCAATACAAGGCAAGTGACTACCCAATCAGCTACAAGGCAAAGAAAACCTGGATAGATAGAATAACCTGACACCAGAAAAGCTGAAGTGACTCAGTAAAAGCCAAATCAAGTACACCATTAACCAGTCACAACAAAAATTCAGACCACAGTGCTCTAAATACAATACAGACAGAAGACACCAGACAGAAGACACCGTATAGCACAGAAGTGAGACGAAGCTGTTATAAAATCAATTATGAGATAGCTTCAGTTGCTTTTGTAAAGCACTATTACCAAATATGCATCAAAGTAGCAGTTCAATATCCACAACCCCCACAGCATCTGTTCGCATATTAAGCTCACATGCTTAAACAAGTAGTTCAATCATCTCAGAGTATACCTGCATAATGTTAGGAAATTAACTTTGGCAAAGAAAACATGCTACCTTCTCTCTTCAGCTTGAAATTTTCACTTCTCTCTTCTGAAATGTTTTGTCAATTGTCCCCATTTTTATCAAAACCAATAATATTAAAGTGAATACAATATGAACTAATATTTATAATTTAAACTTTAATGTAATAATTAAGGATGAATAGGAAGTTAAACTTTTATACTTCCTGCTGCTGTTTCATTAATCTCATTCCAGATTTTTTAGTTCTCTAAAACCACTAGCCTGTGAGTGGGAGATGAAGAACCAAACCATCATCATTGGTTACCACTTTAAATTATATATTTTACATATGTTACTGTTTTTAAGGCCTTTTTAAAGGCCACCATATGGAACTTTTTGTTAAAGCGCTGAACAAAAATGTTTAAAATCAATATAAAGTCCCTAACTAATATGGAATACTATGATGACATTAACAAATCTGAACTTCTTTATCTCAAAGCTACACATTTTATTTTGGAGTCTTCCCTGCTTTAATTTTTGCAAGGATAAAGCATTTTTTCTTGTACATAGTTATGGGTAAGATCAAAGAATCCCTAAGATCTTTGACAGGGCTTTTCAGGAAATACAGTCTGAGAGGGAAGCTCAAAAAAATTACATGAATGAGAAAAGTATCTACAAGTGCTAAGCAAGAATGTTGGCTAGTTGATAGTATGTACTTATGCCAGAAGAATTAAAATAAGCTAGCATATAGTACTTAATTGCCACTAAAATAGACACTAGACAACCTGAAGAGAGAAGAAGAAGAGATGGAAACTAAGACATTTCTGGATTAGCAATTTGAAATTAAAAGGCATGAGAAAAAGCAATACCATGAAAACATTGAGCAACAGTGGGGTTAGTTACAAGGAGTTCAGCTTCTTCCAGTAAAGCACATGACAACAATATCCACAAACACTGACAGTGGACAATCAGTACAACGATAACACCAACACACATACAGGAAGTAAATAAACAAAAGGTTAATTTAGCCCAGACAATGTACAAAATTTACTAAATAAGGTGAGAAATGCAACCTAAAGGTTGCACCCAAACTCTTAAAAATGAATCTATTACAAGTACAAGAGGGCATTCCATGGTGAATTTATTTGCTGCAATAAAATATAGACCTGCAAAAAAGCTTTACCTTTCTTCTATTCTGTAAAGTTTACAAAATCATAGGCTTCGGTAAAACAGAATCAAAACAGAATTTCCTATTTAAACAAATAACACTCAAATGAATGTGCATATAAAAAGTAGATGTATCAAGCACTCTTTAAATATAGGCATTCCTCATTTAACAAACTCATTCAACGACTGTTTGAAGTTACGGTAGCACTGAACAAAGAATATTTACAGTGAATCCTCATATTGTAGCCACTGCAGTGTCCCATAATCACATGATCACATTTGTGACATTCAGTGCCAATCCCGCCAGCTTCTCTATTGACAAGCTAAGTCAATGGAGAAGCTGGCAGGAGGTCACAAATAGTGATATGACCATGGGACAACACAACTGCGCAAGATTCGCCTAACTACAGTAATCAGGACTTTTAGAACTGCCGCTAGAAGTCAGCACTACCAAGTGCCTTAACAATGGAGTTCCCAGTCCCAATTACTGTCAGTAAGTTAGAATGATCTGTATTAGAAGATGCAGCTTATACTGAATGTATGCTACTATAATCTGTTTCTGTGTGAGTGAGAGTCTTTTATTTTTATTAATGCAATGGACTTTCTAAGTGGAAAATGTGTATAATATGGGATAGTAGTTAAAGTACTACACTAGTGCAGGAAGTGTTTGGGAGATACAGGTTCAAGCATCTCCTGCCATGGAGTTCACTGGGTGATTTTGGACTTGTCACAACTTATTCCTGAGGGTTGCAGGAGAAAAAAACGGAGGAAGAGCACTATTACTATAATTAATATAATAGTTATATTATACTTGTCAGATAATAACTATGAAACACTCAAGATTTATCGTTCAAAGCCATCAATAGTTTTCTATGCAAAATATAAAACTGTTATAAAACACTATATTGTAAGCTATGCCACCATGTGTACAGCCATCTGTAATTCTTTAGCAATTGAAGGAATTAGAAGTCCTTTTTCATACTGGCTGGTAATGGGGATTTGTATTATATCCATAAGTACTAGTAATATAAATAGTTTTTAACTGTTCCAAACTGCCATCACTACACTGTGGAAAAATTTAACAGGCAGGTTCAAACCAGTTACCAAGAGACAGTTGGGAGTTGGATAATTTAGACTTCTGATGAGAATTGCTTAAGAGTGTAACTGTATAGTAGCCAACAATATCTTTGGATTGACGATTGAGGTGATGCAGAAAGAGGCATCGCTCTCTTCCGTAGCATTTACATGAAAAGCTGCATGGCCCTGTGTATGAAAACCAGCTGAGCAATTTACCTTTGAAACAGTCTTTTTAGCACTACTATTTCTTTGCCGCTGATTCTGGGAAATAAACTCTAGTGGTTAATTTAAATTCTAATTGGTACCTATTTTTCATAAGCCTTAGTTCTCTTTTACGTGTTGCTTCTTCCGCTAGCTGCTGTGGGCTATGCAGTGTTCCTGGGGAAGCTGCCATAACGACTCCTTGAGGTAAGGCTGTGGTTGGAGTACGGATTTGGTAAGTTGGCATGTCACCTGTAGCCGCTGCAATTTCAAAAAAGACATTACAATACAAAGGAAAATAGCATAGTTTATCATCAAAACAACAAAAAAAAAAGAAATGTTCTAGCATGGCATCTGCCATCAAGATTTCTCTGGTTTTTATTTGGATGTTTGGATATTTAAATAAAACAGCCCTAGAAAATCACAATGAAAATAATACATTTATCAAAGACTTCAAAATTTAGAAAAGGTGGGAATTAAGTAGCCTGTTTGTGCTTCTACTGAATGAATTTTATTCAGAAAAAGCAAGACATAGCAGAAATATTGTCCTTTTTTTCTCATCAATTTGCTTTATGTTTCAAAAAAAATAATTTAATCTTAAAGGGACAGATAAAGAAAACACACACAAAGCATAATGCCATGTGAATGTAAAGGAATGAGGAAGCATAGAAGTCATTCGTTGTACCTGACTATTGCAATACATGATTTTAAAGAAAGGAATAGAGTTCAACACTAAGTAAATAGTAGGTTAGGTATGTAGGTGCCCTGCTAAAACTGCAGAATAAAGTTGTACATGATCTATTCCACTTCCCTTCTGATTTGCAGAATCTAGAACATCTCTAACAATAGTAAGAGATCGTTGTCACAGTGTGCGATAATTTCTTGATTTAATAGGGCTGTGTCTCTTCAAATGATTTGATCAAAACCCTTTCTCATTTAGCTTATTTTTTCCTGCTCATTTTCCCATCTCCATCACACACCATCCGTCTTTTTGCCAGGATCCATACACTCAATCCATACTGAAATCATTTTGCATATCAACAGCCTTAACTTCTTTCCTCTGAACAGATTTTTACACTTTTCTTCAACAAACATTGTCGCTTCCTTTTTAACCGAAGTGTCTATGGAGATTCCTAGTCACCCAGATCATAGTTATCCCAAAGATGCTTTTTCACGAGGCAACTAGACTTTCTTGTCAAGAAAGTCCAGTTGCCTCATGAAAAAGCATCTTTTGAGATTTCTAACCCAAGCTTATACAACATATAGCCCAAAAGCTGCATGTGGCCCACTAAGCAGCCTTGTGCAGTCTGCCAACTTTTTATAAAAAATAAATAAATTCACTACTGTACCACTAAACATTGTCATCCTTAGCAAGGTTCCAATACCCGTGCCCTGAAAAACATGCTGCTAAGTGTCTTCAATTCCTCCAGACCTTTACCAGCTCCATTATTGCTGCACACCAGGTATTTCCTCCTATGGACAAAAATCATCCTTAACAAAACCAGAGCTCACATCTGACCATACGACCAAATATTTTGGACCTTTAGACTGGGACTTTTTTTAAAAAAAATGTATGAATATAAACTAATGGGATTTTTTAAAAGACAAAATTACTAATCTCACTTACCTATCCTGATCTTGCTGCAAAGTAAAAGTTCCTATCTATTAATTTTTTTTTGTAAGCTTGTGCACAACAGGGCAAATTCAATTTTTATTTAGAATCTAAAATCCAACTGATGTACTTTAAATCAGCATATAAATTATAGGAGAATGGGAAATGGTTATCTTCCTGCATAACGAATAAAGGCAAATCTTTAATTCACAGACTGTCCGTATATAGCCATCTGGAGGGGAAGAAAGCGAGATCTGTGAAGCAGCCTCAGATCCCTGAATTAAACATGCTATAATTTCCAAATTATATTCTCTGTAATACAAGAACAGGTAGTAGGAAGCCATTCCTGGCACTTCATGACAATTGCTCGTTGATAATTGGGTTCAGCAATACATAACTTGAAATATGTAAAGTACAAGAAAATTGGGGAGAATGGATTTTATCAATAACAAACAGCTCTCTTTTACTGTTACTTTTCATGCTGAGGTACGTCAGTTTAGTGATACAGTAATTTTAAGTGAATGACAGTCATAAAAGTTAAGACTATAATTTGTATGGCAGTTAGCATATTTTAGATATTATTTAAATAAGCCATAGCAACAATACGAACATAAAGTTCATTTAATATTAATAATATTACCTAAGAAATGAGAACATGGCATAGATCTGCACAACATACTAAGGCAAACAAAACCCACTAGCAATGAAGTCTGACAAGAGCCACATAGCATTTAGATTTCCTAGTCCCAAAAAAGCAGCAAAATGAAGCCTGTGATGATCAAAATGTTAGTTTCCTCAACAAGGTCTAGAAATCCTGGAACATTTGTGGATTCACATTTTGTCCCCAGGAGGCTAATTCCACTTGCTATTTTTAATCTTTCAAAAATTATATTTATTTTTCCCTTCATGAAAATGAACAGGCAGATGAAAAAACAAAGCAATGACTCCAGCTTCCATCATTCTTATTTCCCATAATGCATTTTGGACCCCATGTAATCCCAGAGACTTTTTAAAGAAAAATTCACATTCTCAGTTCACAGAGCGCTGAAAAATGTCCTACTTGCGAAACATGTTTTTCAAAAAAGGAAGTTATTACCACTGTTGTCAGGAATCGAGAAAAAAATAATGTGCAATTTAACATAATCTGAACTTTTTAATATGATTGACTTACCATTTTGTAAAGAACATATTTAGATGTGAAATGATACTTATGTTGCAGCTTCTCAGATGAAAAACTAATAATCTAATCCTAGCAATTATCTTACATATTTCAATAATCTTAGAAACCTGATCTAAGACACTATCATTCCATCAGTTTCAAATATGAATTTTCCCATATTTAGGATGTTCATCACTGTCAAACTGAAAAACTGAATTTTATTATCTTCTGAACATGTTATAAATTTAATATTATGGACTTTTTATTCATATCCTGTTTACTATTACTGTCTTCTATTCTATTCCTCTTCTATTGCTTTGCTTGGCATAAAGAATTCTGCTTTTACACTGTTACCCCCATAAAGGTATTATGTATTGTGGTGGTGTTTTTTTAATTTTTCCTCTTTGACATGGCTATCTTACAACATTTATAACAGGTTTTTTTTATTTTTTCCAGCATAAATGTCATCAGAAAAAATATGAATTATTCTTTATATACTACATGACATTTACACTTATCAAATCATGGAAAAATGATTGTTGTTGTTCCGTCGTTGTGTCCAACTCTTTGCAACCACATGGACCATAGTGTGCCAGGTCCCCTATTCTCTATTACAGTGGTGGCGAACCTATGGCACGGGTGCCAGAGGCGGCACTCAGAGCCCTCTCTGTGGGCACACATGCCGTCGCCCCAATCTTAGGCCTTCAGCTGGGTTTTATAAAACCTTTTCACTTTAGGCCTCCACCACCGTGTACAAAAAAAAAGGTTCAATCAGTCAATTTCAACTTCTCACGGGAAAAAAAAGATCTTCAAAGTTGGAATTGATTGATTGAACATTTTAGTCCCACCCAGTCTGCTGTTACCACCGCAGACACACCCACCCAATGGGCCACACCCACCCAGCACCCAACAATGCATAAGTGGGTTTTGGGTTGCAGTTTGGGCACTCGGTCTCTAAAAGGTTTGCCATCCCTGCTCTATTATCTCCAAGAGTTTGTCCAAATTCATGTTCATTGCATTGATGACACTATCTAACCAGGAAAACTATTAAGATATTTTAAAAAGATTAAAATATTCTATTCTACAAAGTGACAGTTCTGTATAAAAAAAAGAAACAAGGAATTTTGATTCATTTTAAAGCTCTCAAATTTGTTAGGGCACATGCTCTCATAGGCTTCGTTAATAGACTATAGCCAAATTCATTGGTGGACACTAGAGAAGTTTATGCCACAATAAACATGCTGCTTGTGTTATGCTATAAGACACAAACAGACAGACAAGGAGCCTATCAAAAGCTATGAAGCTTTACATCACAGATGATTATAATGATCTTTCTGCAGAGCAGAACAAGACTGACTACATACTAGGAAGAATCCTATTACACCCCTTTCTTTCTCCTCCCTCTTCTAAGGCAGTATCTTACCAGAAGGATTATAAACTTTTCTCAAAAGCCTGTTGTGCAGCTCCTAGTTCTTTGCTCATCCAACCAGAGGTCTTTAGGAATAGCTGAGAGTAGTGGGATAAATAACACAAAACACACAAACCAGATTTACTTAGCTCAAGAGATCAGGAGTACAGCCTACAGAATAATACTACAAAACTTGCCAGCAGTTCTAGCTGAAGCAGAAAGGAACTGACTAAATCACAGCATGACTTGCAGCTGACGTCAGTATTGGTGTTGTTTGTGGAGTTTAAGTTTTCCAGCTCCGCCACTGAAACACGATTCCAGGAAATATAGTGACGTCAGCTCTTTGAACTTGATTAGCTGTGGAACAGACCACTTTCAAAGAGAGGGGGCATAAGATAATAAACCATCAGCCAAAGGTTTGCCAAATTCAAGTCCCTATTACTGCTGTAGTGAGCTGTCTAAATGAATGCTAAAAGAGTAACTGCAGAGCTGAACAAAGCACACACTGCCACTAGATTTCTGCTAACAGAAGCTTAACAAGTAATCTTTCATTCACACCAAAGTTAAATAGAAAGCATTGAGAGAGATAAGTTGCTGGTTTTTCATGCTACCTGATTAATGACTGCAATAAAGTTAAGTGAAGTCTTCAGTACTAAAGAAAAATATTTTATTCCAAGCTGAGCTTGCAAGAAAAAACAATTTTTAAATAGCAACCAGTTTCACCTCCTAAATAACATTTTATCATGCATTATAAAAATAAAAAGTAGCAACCAAGTGCTGCCAATCAATAATTCTTTGCGAGCCTTTTAATGAAAAAGGAGGGAGAGCTGTGATGAACCTGATTACGTCTGGGCTGTCAAACATCTCACTGAAGCAAACAGGATTGCCGCACCCCAGCCTGAGTTCTGTCTTTGGAAAGAAGCATAGGGAATCACCTACCAGTTTCATCTCTGGTTACAGCCATGACCACAGCAGCTCGTGCTCAAAGGCTTCACGTCTGCCACCAAGTGAGCAGAAAATTTTCCAAACAAGCAAACATGTGCGGGATTACAAGCTTCAGGACTGACATCAGAATGACCTCA